CCATAACAGTGTGGTGGTGATGATTGTTAATTCAGTATAATTGCAGTACAGTATAATAATGGTTATACAAAACAATTTAATTAAACAATATAGAAATGCCAATCGGAGACTGGGTATTTGTTAAAAAAAGTCACAGGTCTTAATGCCAACATTTCTTTCGTGTATATAATTGCATATACATCCTACATAGAAATACTGTACTGTATACGCAATAACAAATAAAAAACACAAACATTGAAGTGTTGTATGACCATGAAATGTACCACCTCTTTTCATCATTATTACTTAGTCAAGATTTTTTATCATATTACTTAATGAAGATTAAAAATCTTGCTTAACAATAATAGCAACATTGTAATACATTACAGTATAATTACAGTAAAATAATACTAAGACTAATGATAATAATATTAATGATTATAATATTTATAATAATAATAATACGGTAATAGCAATTATAATAATATACAAATATATAATAATAAAATAATAATAATAATAATAATAATAATAATTATTATTATTATAGTAATAATAAAAAGAGTAGTGGTAATAGATGTAATTTTAGTATGCAAAAAAAATAGGTATCTGTGCTTAACAAATATTCGGCCTATACAATAATAATAATAATAATATAATACATATAATCATAGTTACCAACCGTCTCGCATCGTGCGGGACGGTTCTTCATTTCAAAGTGATTTTGGATGAAACACGCATTTTGCAGAAACACATGGGTGATCCTAAATTTGTCGCGCATTTAACGAAAGTTTATGCGTGATGACGATTTATCACAAATTCAGGGGAAAATGTATTTAAAATTTGAAGAAATTGGTTGTATTAAAACTATAAAAACGGTGATGCAGTAACACTAATGAGTTACTAAAAATTGATCAGTAATGAAATATTGTGTAGGTCTACATAGTTCGGGTGCTCAAATTAAACATAGGCCTACATTGAAATTCAAATTGGCTTTATTAATAATATTTTTGCTTATGTACCTGTATTATCAACAAACACTCCCTGAAATCGTTTTAAAACAGCTTAAAAATGCTCAGATCGTCGGAGCGGGTGGGGGTGGTTCCCTTGCCGCTTGACACCCCCCCCCCCCCCCCCCCCCCCCCAACTGTATAGTCACTCACGCATTTCAAATCTCTGAGGTTGGTAACTATGAATAAACAATCAACAAACTACCGGGTTTCTGGGTTAATTTGCAATTAAGGTACTACATGGTTCGACTATTTTATACTTAGGGGTTAATTTCTTTAAAATCGCCCTAATCATACGACGTCACGGACAGCGCCGGGGACGGCAACTCGATTTTGAGATTAATTTTCCGAATAAAGTTATACTAAATAACCTCTAATGACGAACTATTGTCTTCAGTTGTCTTTGTTGGTCATCCAACTGTCATTTTATCTAACGTTTTTCGGTGATATTGCCATTCTCAATAATCTATAAAACACCCACATAACAACGTCACGTCAGATCGATCGGTGGGGACGCCGTGGTGACGCCGGTAGGGTCAATTTTCGTCGGAAGGTATCAAGATGATAAAAAGTTTCATTGGATTAAATTCTTGCTTATGTTAACCATGCTTTCCTAAGATTATACTGACACTGGTTTCAAATGAAATAACTAACAACTTTGGTTTGTATCAATGTTTTAATAAGTACATAAAACTATGTCACAAATACGTATGCAAAAATGCACAGGGACACCACGCTGTTTTTGTATTTTTCTTGAAATCCGTATGCCTGATCACCATCATCATACACAGTATAATAGGTTCAAGTAAGATGTTTCAAATGATATAAAAATGTATGCAAAAACATGCCTTTGGAACATTTTTTTTTTTTTTTTTTTTTTTTTTTTTTCGAGTTTTATTTACCTTAACGTCGACTCCGTCGTAGAAAGCACCAGGATTAATCACGCCAGTATTTTTCTTGAAATCTGTATGCCTAATCACCATCATCATATAATAGATTCAAGTAAGATGTTTCAAATGAAAATTCATCGTAGCCATTAATTATTATCAATACGGTCCCGGCGTCATTCCTTTAATCGGGACGGTACATCTACTTTACCGCATGAGTTCACGATGTACACATGACATGGGTCATATCATGTCCCGAATTATAATTTGTATTTTTAATGTATTACTAGAGATAGGTCCCTGCATTCAACAATTATGTACTGTTATTTACTATCAACTATTGCCCCGGCGTCACTAATTTAGATCAAGGTGGTACGTACGAAATTATCTTCAATCACTTCCTGATTTCTCCGACGTGCACATGACAATGAGGACGCATACGTACCTCTCTCATTGTGTTGACGTTGGGAACGTTTTACCCTCCTATCATGCACGACAATACTTTCTTCCTATTTACTATATGTATATGAATGAAATACTAATATAGTTCCATGTATTTTAGAATTCTGAGAATTTTCATCGTATTAAAATTGTTATTTTTTTCAAAAGAAATATCATACCGACGTCATCTAGTTTTCTACACTAATTTAAGTGTATGGGTGAACTTGCAGGGTCTTTGTCTAATTATTAAACTTATGTCACCATAAGCTATAAAAATGTGTTAAGCATGAATCTGTACTTACATCAGTGGCGTAATCTACTAGGTGGGGGTTCCCCTGTCGCTTCCCCCACCCCACCTCCAACGCCAACTGGTAAAGTCACTCACGCATTTCAAATCTCTCAGGTTGATAACTGTGTAATATATCTTATATAGTAACAATATTGAATGTTCTTGTTGTTAACAACGATGATGATGATTACGATGACTTGTCGAATTCTTTTTTTTTTTTTTAAGATGGAGAAAGTGTTAAGGGAGATTCTTTCTGATGTCCATGTTTTCGTGGCGCATAGCAATGGATGTCATTTTATTCGAAACAACGGCGTTGCAGTAGAGGTGCTCCCTGTGCCAAATCTATTTTGCAATCATGAAGAAGCTGACACAAGGATGACACTGTGTGTGCAGCAAAGTCAAACAGTCACATTGTTGTCAATAGCCCAGATACAGATGTGCTTATTTACTTACGGAAATAATAATAATAATAAATATAATAATAATAATAATAATAATAATAATAATAATAATAATAATAATAATAATAATAATTATTATTATTATTATAATTATAATAATTATAATAATAATACCAAGTTATTATTATTATTATTATTATTATTATTATTATTATTATTATTATTATTTTTATTATTATTATTTTTATTGTTGAATATTAGCCGTATTAATTTTCATACTATTATTATTATTATTATCCTATTGAATATTAGCCGTTTAAATTAAACTTACGGAAATAATAATAATAATAATAATAATAATAATAATAATAATAATAATAATAATAATAATATACAAGTTATTATTATTATTACAGTATCCTGTTTTATTAGCCGTATTTATTTTCATAGTAGGCCTATCTATAATTTATCATTGCAATTTACTAGTGAATCTGAGATTTCATTATTCGAAATAGATACAATACTAATAACAATCCATCAAGAAAATGTGACTTTTACAAGAAAGCTGTTTTTAAAGACATATTGTATTATATTATAAACTCTTATTATTATGTTCTGTTTCGAAAATTACAGCCATGTGATGTCTAATTTGCTCATAAATCCTAATTTTAGACCATAAAAGGCCATTATTAAGGAAAAGGGGCCCTTAGCAACGAAAATACGTAATCCACTATACACATATTTCACATATAAACCAAGCTTGTATTAAATTTATTTTGTTTTCTGAAATTCATGTACTGTACTGTAGGTCTACTATCTTGAAATGAAGCCCCAGGGCTTCTCTTTTCGAAGCTAATTATTTTGCAAACTAAAAGAGGGGGGCTTCAATTCGAGATGGGCTTTATCTCGAGATAAGCCCACTGGGCTTCAATTAGAGGTTTTACAGTATGAGTCAAATGTGTACACTTAACACCAGGGAAGGTGTACTAAAGTTATCTTTCAGTAGAAACTTGAAAATTCTTCAGTGAGTAATAGGGGTCTTAGTCATTCGTCTACGCGGAATCAAATGTTCACACACGTCGAAACAAACTACCGTACTCGCGCGAATAAGCGCCCGGGCGCTTAAAATAATTTTTTGCACTTTTTGAGGGGCGCTTATTCAAACGGGGCGCTTAAAAAACAGAGTGAAAATTGAGGGGGCGCTTATGGAAATAGATGAAAATCGAGGGGTTCTTATGAGAACTTATTAAATCCAAGAGGCACATTTTGAATCATAAAAAACGATTAAATAAGGACATCAGGAAACTGCAAATTACGAATGGTACTGCGGCGGAAAATAATCGTCCAGAGAGCATGGCTTCTCATGACAAGAATGTTGTGAGTACAGTATTACATAACAGCAGAATAGCAGATGAAATTAGTGGTGGTGGTTAGCTTGTTCGCCATCGGTCGATTGAGAATAGCAGGACGGCATGATCATTGCAGGTTTTCTTGAAAACTTAGATGAGAATGTGTTAGAGGTGCAATTGTCGGAAAAGGAGTAGTAGGACTATGCTATATACAAATGAAAGAAGATGAAAGTTGGAAATATACTGTCTGTCTAGGGAGCTCTCATCATTCTGTCAAAGATAAATATCCTCATTTTGATATTGACTAAAGGAGAATGTGATTCCACTCCACACCTCAAATCATGCCAAAATCCACAGTCCCAAGATTGATCATTAAGTTATGGGGCGTTTATTCAAACGGGGCGCTTAAGGAAATTTTCTCGTTATGAGGGGCGCTTATTCGATAGGGGCGCTTATTCAAACGGGGCGCTTATTCGCGCGAGTACGGTGTTCAATTGTTTAGAATTAATCATTGTGTTTGGACCATTACTTTATAGTACAATTGTGGAGAGTTATTTGTTTTGTTTTGGTTTCCGTTTACTGTAGGCCTATGTAAATTTTATGTACTGTAATTATATAATATATAATATAATATATACCAATGGGATCTTGAATTCAGGAATGTTAATATCTTACTCAGTGTCATAGACTTTTGTATGGGTTGTCAACTGAAAGGGCGGATGTTCAAAATATTCTGGCAACAGCTATTACTGGATATTTCGCGGGAAATGGCGGAATTTGAGAAGAAGTTGTACGAGAAAGTGAGTATGTAAAACATGATTTTGGTTATTCAATTTTAGCTGTTAATTGTTTTGTTAGAGCATATTAACAAACTAAAGAGTAAGTTTACTGGAGAGAACCAGTTTAATAACGCTTCATTGGCTGATGAAATAGAGTTACATAATCTCTAGGCCGAACTTCGTGTAAACTCAAATTGCACGGGGACACTTACTTAGTGTTGATCTAGGCCTATTATTATTAATATTAGGCCCTGTCCTAGGCTAGCTAGCGTAGGTAGGGTAGGTTTAGTCTAGGCCTAGATCTGTGATTTAAAGCTATTTTCTATTAATGTTAATTGCAGTAAGTAATAGTTTAATTAGAATTTAGAATGCTAACTCCAGACGGATACACGTGTTTCTCGAAAATAATATTCTGCTAGGCGTAGCCTAGCTAGCCTAGGCCTAGGCCTAGGCCTCCTACCGAGGCCTATGCTATGCTAAATGAAAATAAGGAAATAAATAAGGCAATAATACTAGTCTAGGCCCTAGGCTCGCCTAAACTAAGGTAAGTAGGCCTCTCTGACTATGATTAGGGCCAATGGTCTTTTTCACGAATCGGTAAACATCGGATGACAAACATTGCGAATACCTGTTTTAATACACTACTACTTAGATAGGCTTTTCTTTTTCCATTTTGATTTCAGAGGTCAAAAAAATTTTCAATTTTTTTCAATCATATAGTGGTGTAGACTAGTCTTTTAAGAACATTTTGCTGGAAATTTTTTTTGTGATTTTTTAAATATCACGATGTCAGAAAATCAGCCCAAAAAGCATATCTTATTTCTGTTGGTTACGCACCGCTGATCGTCATTACTTCAAGATGTCTACCGATTCGTGAAAAAGGCCTGCGCAGATGATACCTCAAAAACTCACTCAAATATGTGTGGAAAATCGAAAAGAAAATTGGTGTGCACAAAATCGTAACTATTGCAAATGCATTGGTTATTAAGAGATTAGGCCTATTGCGATGCATTGGTCATATATTAAGAGATTAGGCCTAGGCCTAAGCATCATAATTTTCAGCAAAATGACACAGAAATCTGCTCTTATTTTCTGAAATGCGCAGATGGATTTCTGGTCCTAATTTTTGCAAGGAGATTATATTCCCTGTGCAGGCCTTATACTTTACAACAGTTTGGTACAAATAGAAATTTATTTTCCCCCACAGAGAATTAAAACAGTCTTCCCTGATAACATTAACTGAATGTGTTGTGAAGTCTTCTTACAGTAAATGATAATGGCAGAAATTGTGAAAGCTGATGAGAAAGTGGTTGAGACGGAAGCTGATGAAACAAAGGAAGCATCAACAAGTGCAAGTGCTGGATTGTCATGTAGGCCTAGGTACTCTGAGGGAATGGAGGTGCTGGCAAGATGGACTGATGGCCTCTCCTATCTTGGTACAATACAGAAGGTGCAGTATTACAAGATACAATACAGTAGAACCTCGTTTTTACGTACCCCAGTTATATGAACCCTCGGTTTTACGTACGCCTCGTATCGAAGATGACGTCATCAAAAACCCCGAAAATATTCAAAACAAACGGCCCTTTTCAGAGCAACCATAAGTAAAAAAACTATAACAATAAACAAACCATAATCCAACATATTTTCATTAAACAGCAACGTTGATTGAGTCTAATACCGGGTTGTTATAATCTAAAACCACGTGAACTGAGTGAGATGAACAACTACCGATGGTGCTCAAAATAATTGCTTTCCTCCTTAGCTTCGTGTGGCAAACCATGGACAATCTCGTCTGGTCGAATTTTCTACACGAAGCTGAGTAGACATAGTTACGTACACGAACGCTAATTGGTTGGCTCGCCCAGTGCATAGCACATGGTTGCTGTTTCACGTACACGAACGCTAGTTGGTTGGCTCACCCAGTGCAGCGCACATGGTTTTAGATTGTCTCAACAGGCCCAGACAATACCGCAGCTCTGTTGTTTAGAATAGGCATGAAGGGGAATTCCCAAGTTATACCTTTGTCGTATAGGTAATCTTACAATATTTTCATGTTCTTTAGTTAAATAAAGATATAAAGTGATGAATTAATGCACTAGACACATGGTTTTATTTGAACACTTTGACATCGTAAAGTGATGAATAAATACAATAAAAACACATAATTTTATTTGTAGGCCTAGAGGCTAGGTCTAGCCTAGGTAACATCGTTCGTTCATACATACGTTTATTGAGCGTTATGTACGTATTAGGTCAAAGGTTACCACAAATTTAACCCAACCTCTATTTTACGAATCCCCGATTTACGTACGCCCTCTGGTCCCGTACCGTACGTAAAATCAAGGTTCTACTGTATATATTTATTTGTGTTCACAACTTGGTTCACATGAAATTTGATTTCCAGATAATACAAATAAATCTCAAATGCATAAAAAGATGCAAAAGACAGGTGTCAAAGCATATTGCAATACAAATGATGGATCTTAAACTACTGTACATAAAAGGCTAACTATAACTACAAAGATATTCAAGAGACACAAAATTGCAAGGCATATTTTATTTTATAGACACCATCCAGATTGGCTGGCACTTAGAAATGCGCCAAATGTATCAATATTTACAGTTGCAAAGCATCAACAATTCCAGAATACATTAATACATGTATTTACAATTTTTTATAAATAAATGATGTAGCTTGGTTCTTTCATTCATTCATTCATTTCTAGTTTATTCAAAAACATCTAAAATGCTTCTAATACTATTGATATCTGAACATATGGTTTAATGAGCAAATAACAAATTCTATCATTTGTACAAAGTACCAAGCTTATTTAGAATTTTTTGTAGTACAATTTTAAAAAACGTTTTTTCTTCTACACAATTAGGTGGATACAGAACTTAAAAAATGTTTTGTTACTTTTGAAGACAACTCCGAACATTGGGTTCTGTACAAAGACATACAGAAAGGTTGGTTAGTAATATTGATATTATGAAGTTAACTTAGTAAAGGCATAAGTACAAATATGATTTATTAATAATAATAATGTAGTTATTTGTCAGTTTTCAAAGAAACTTTTATTTTCCATAAGCATTATAAAAAAATAGTTGTACGCATGTACAAAACTGCCATAATTTCATAATATAGCTAATAATCAGTGCATTGATGTTGAAACCTACCAGGTAGCTTACTTGCACTCCTTGGTGGTTAGAGCAACCATGGGTAAAGTGCTTTTTACCCTGTATTTTGCTAAATACAGGGTAAAAAGCCATTCAAAATATAGGTTAGAAAAGGAGAAAAAAATAACAAAAATGAGAAATGCAGGATAACAAAATAATTCCGATCACATTAAAGAACCATTTCTAATTTTTAAAATTTTATTAATGGTTTGACATGATTATTGTTTGTTTTAAGAAATGAATTACCTTAAAACTATCAACTGTGTTTACTGTGTGTGCTAAGTACATTAAACTACATTAACACAACCTACAACCTTTTTTTTTTCGACAGGTCTCCAGATGGGAGAAATAACATGTTCCCTTTGCCACAGTGGTGATTCAAACCTACCCAATGAGATAGTACTTTGTGATCACTGCGGTCTTGGTAAGTAACCACAAAGGGTTATATGATAAACTTATGTCACACTGACCTCTTGGATCCAGGTAAATGAGAGTTACACTAGTCAAGTCTTAACAATACAAGGGCTCTAACAACCATAAATGCTTTAAAGTTAAAGAAAGTTTTTTGTACCTTTAATTAATTGAATTTTAACCAACCCCCTTTGTAAAATTGTGAGAGTGCACAATACATTTAACAAGGTTTAAATTTCATTCAGGATAAATTGGATAATATATATACACAATTATTTCAGAATCACAATCTAAAAATAAGGGTTGGAGTTTGAAAAGTAGATTTGAATACAACTTCCCTTGCTTTATTTTGGCAAGTCGAGTGGCCGAGCGGTAAAACGGGCGCCACTAACTACAGCCTTAATATCAGCGCTGGTTCCAGTCGCTCCTCGCCCAGGGTTCAGTTGGTAGAACTAAGTCTTCTTGGATAAGGACTTAAAGTGGAGGGCTAGTGTACACATCTGGGGAATATATGCGCCTCTTTACGGCTGCTAGGTAGTCTAGGACCGCACTCATACGCAGTTCAGCACAATGACGCTGCTAGTTATGGGTTATTCTCCTACCTTTACCTTTACTTTGTTCATCATAGGTTATCATCAGAAGTGTCATCAGCCTGTAATACATCAAAAGGTTTTGTTATCGGAAGATGAGCCGTGGGTCTGTCGTCAATGTGTGTTTGTCTGTTCCCAAAAGGTAGATAAAATGTTATTATAAAATTCAACTTAATATACCAAAATAGTTCACAGATAAACTTTTGATCAGTTAGCATTTAATGTGTAGTAATCAGTGCTATATTTACAATAGTTGAAATTTTATTCAACAAGGTGACTGGTATGGCCTTTTGACAGTATGGCAGAAATGTATAAACTATATTAGAGTTTTTACGGTCCTTAAAAGCACTTAAAAGTCCTTGAATTTGAGAATTATTTTCAAGGCCCTTGAAAGCTCTTGAAAATTGATGTTCGTACTTGAAAAATTCTTGATAACAGATTTTCCAATTTTATATTTTTAGAATCGACTTTGTGTAGTAATCACTAGAAGATGTATATACACCTGTACATATCATCATCATTTGTTTTCTGCTTCACAGCAGTTAATTTCAACGATTTTCTCTTTCATATGATTTCAATTTCATGACGGCATAGCTTTCATTTGTTTCCTTCAGGTTACTTAACAACATTACTCTTTTCCTTCCTGAAGGCTGCTTTCTTTCCATTATTCCTTCAATAATATTTCTCAAAATATCAACGCCTATAAGTATACATATATCAGTGACTAAAATTTACCATAGAATTTAAAATGTTGTTAGAGGCAGTATTCAAATAGCAGCATGTAACAGTCCATAAGAAAGGTACAGAATAAAGGGTCTAAAAATATATTACAATAAATATTAACATCTTTGTTTCCTGTGTTAGGTTGGAGGTGCTACCCGCAGGGGAACCGCAGGTAAGTAGATATGAATGATTCAAATTAATGTTTTATTTATTTATTGAACACTGAAGAGAATATTTGAAGTGGTTGTTCAAACAACAAACAAAATTGAAGCTAACCTCTCATTGTGCAATAGAAAAAAAATATCAGCGATATCTAATTGAAGTGGCCATTCCATATGACAAGTTTAGGGTTAGATTTTGCTGTATAAAAACTCCAACCAAGCTGTATTACCTGAACATGCCCTGTTAATAGGCTGGTATAGTTGTTCATTTGAAGTTGAGACAAGTAGGTTTTGGCCTATGGTTTGTTGGCTTGGCAATCCACATAATTTTAGCGGCTACTAAACTAAGCTATTTTAACAGATTTCCAAATACAAAACATACAGAAATACACAAATTAACATTTTATGTACAACTTTTTAATACTGATCAAGATGCTTAACATATCATATTAATTATGTTAATGATTTAACTTCTAATTTTCTCATTATAGCAAAAGTATTTGAAGAGATGAAAAGATCTCTTCCATACAGGGTAAGTTCAAATGTGTTTGAGATCAGAAATATGAAAGTAAATAGTATTCAATGCTATATTTTAGAATTTGATTGGTTTTTTGTTAATTTCTACTAGACTTTAAAAATACAGTTGTTGCTACTGGATACTAGAGTATATTACCATGTAATGTATCTACAATACGTTGCTACATAAATAGACTGCACTAAGGATTAGATTTTCCTTTGCTCTGAATTCGTTTAATGTTTTCCATGTACCTTTGTGTTTTTAGTATTTTTTTTTTTACATATCCTTGTTGGTCACAGTAGCAGCATCAAAGATGCCCTGATGAGGGTTCCAGTGTTCCCGGCACACCTACTTTACTCCTACCATGATTGGAGCAAACTATGCTCCACTTGATGCCTAAAATGGGACATTCAGACTGTAGAAATGTTTTTTTTTTTTTAAAGCGGTGTTCCCTTATGAACTGACTATCTTCTTCCCCATCATGGTCCAGGATTCCCTAACAGCCGTCCTGTGCTGCCCTCCACCCGTCATTGAGGCCGTCACCTGTTAGTAAGACGAGTCTTTTTAACCCATATCCCAAGAACCTGCCCTCTGCCAACAATGATAATTTTAGATAAAAATTTATTCCAATTGGGAAAAGAAATAATTTTTAATTCTGTTTAGTGTTACTAGCACTCTATTAGTTTCCCCCACCTTTAAGTTGCAATTGACACACTTAGTGAATTAATCAAATAAAAATAAATATTGGCTCAGCCTCTATTATGGTTTGAACATTAGACATAGTAATTGTTATTGTCGTGATAGAATAATAGACAATAACTGGATTTGACAATAAAAAACCGTGTTTTGTTTTTTGGGTGAGGGTGGAAATTAAAAAATATATTTAAGGTGGTTAATTTGTTTTTGTATTACAGTACTCGTACCATATTTGTTGTGTGTCTTTTACAGCTTGGGAGTCTTCACTGGGACAGTAATCATCGTACCAATGTGGAGCAATGTTACTGCTATTGCGGTGGACCTGGAGAGTAAGTTTGTATTCATTCATTCCAGATGCAAGGTCTGCTTTTATTTATTAAGGTCACCGATTCATCAAATAAAATTAATATATAATACTGTAGTAAATTACTACAACTAAATTACTGCAAATAAATTACAAAATACGTTGCCAAACCAACCAGGAATTTTTAATGAAGTCATGTAATAGAATTCTATAAAAACAAACATGTAAAACCCGGTGATCTAGTATTTAGGGAAGCTGATGTCAATCAAGTTTTTGACGTCATTAACCAACTTAATGTTAACAAAGGAGCTGGATTAGATTCCTTACCTGTTAGGTTTGTTAAGGATGGTGCTAAGAATATTGTTCAGCCGCTCACATCTATTATTAATTTATCTATTAGAACTGGATGTATTCCTAAGGACTGGAAATGTGCTAAGTTAGATGCTGGGAATTATCGGCCTGTGTCTTTACTCTCTGCTATTTCCAAAATTGTTGAACGTATTATATATGATCAATTAATGAGCTACTTAACTGAAAAAAATCTCCTCTACGATTTCCATTCGGGCTTTGGGCCATCATTCTCTACTGACACTTGTTTGATTCATCTGTCTGATTACATACGTAAAAAATGGGATAATGGTGAATATACTGGTATGTTAGTCTTAGATTTAAAAAAAGTTTTTGATACCGTTCATCATGATATTCTTTTGTATAAATTTAAAGAGCTTTGGGGCTATCTGATATCTCTATTTTATGGATGCAATCATACTTACGGGGAAGATGTCAAGTAGTTGACATAAACGGTACTAGATCCCCTATGCTAGAAACGAAGTGTGGTGTGCCACAAGGCTCAATACTTGGGCCTCTCCTATTTCTAGTTTATGTCAATGACATGCCATCCTCCGTAAAATGCAAATTATTATTGTATGCTGATGATGCAGCGTTAATGGTATCAAGTAATAATGTAAAAAATATTGAAACTGAACTAAATGAAGAGTTAAAATCTATAAATAATTGGCTTGTTGACAATAAATTAACGTTACATTTAGACAAAACCGAATCCATACTGTATGGAACACGAAATATAAGTAGAAAACAATCAAAACTGGATATTACCTTTAATAAGTAAATGCCAGAACCTGTATCAAGTACCTGGGTCTTGACCTTGATCAGCACCTTAATGGTAAATCCACTGGTACGAAAGTTTTAGGTAAGGTACATGGTAGACTTAAATTTCTTTTCAGAAATAGAAAATATTTAACGTATAAATCACTCAAATTGCTTGCGTC